TTTAAAATCCTCTCAACAGCTAAGCATGATACTGAACATCTAATATAGAAGCCATTATACATAAGAACTCTTCTTCCATCTCTAAATAATACCCATTCTTCAGTTGGTGTAAATTTATTTTAATATGAACTGTTTCATTTGCATTATGTACATTTCATTTTCTCCTGATCTTGTATATATTCAGATTTTTACTTATTATTTATTACACATTATATCATATTTCTGGTGTAATTACTATTATGTTTGTTTTGTACCTCAGGCTTACAGAAGATGGAATTCTGAATATTCTGAAATGTTAATAAATGCTTCATGTAATTATGTTCATGTTTTTTTTATTATTATTATTAAATTATGTCTTCCAAAAAATAAACCAATTACTAGGATATCCCTTGTACTTAATGGCATTAAATAACAAAGGAATATGGATCAACTTAGGAAATCAGGACCATCCAGAAAGAGACCTGCAACAAGCTGTACCTCAACTATGGTAAGCATTGTGCAACATCTTGTATTGGGTGATAATCCAAGAATACAAAAGTCATTGGTAAAAGCCATTTGTATGTTCGAGACAACAATATGCAACATAATTGAGGAGGATCTTCATCTGGAAAAGTGACAAAAATATCTTGGAAAGGAAGAGCAATTCTAGAAAACTCTATGAATAGTACCTAGCTTGGTAAATGTGGCAGTATATGATGACACTCAATGAATCATGTGTACCTTGATAACAGTAACAGGTCTCTGTTGTTCAATGGATGGACTCTGCTTTCTATCAGACTCTAGACTTTTTACCAGAAAGGAATACTGGGTATTGGCTCACCAAGATAAGGCTTCCTGTCATACCTCCCTTTCAACCATAGCATAACCTGGAAGTTGGAGAATGAAATAAATATTTTAACCTATTCCAGCCAAAGACATACTGGTCAAGATACTGGATGCAACTCTCTTTAGTGAGTTTTGTAACTGTACTTGCCTTGAAAATCTGGAAAATTATATGAACCTAGTTTTAATGATTTGCTTCCTTTCCTTGTTATATAAAAGATATGTGATTGATACCTTTACTGTATTTGAGAATAAAGAACAGGTGGAGAATCTT